AGGCTAGCCGCTGCCGCCACGAAGTCCACGTGGAAGTTGCTGTCGTCATCCTGTGAGACCCCAATCGGAGCGGCGTTGAGCTTCGGCAGTGCCCCTCACCACGGCCAACCGTGTGCCCCTGCTCAGGGGTCCACAGCCTCTGTGGGGTGTGTGCTGTCTCCCCATTTGTCAGAAAATGAGACTGACACTCGGGGAGGAGGACTCAGGCTGCGGGACGCCAATACTGCCCTCTCAGGTCTTGACTCCCCCAGCCCGACTCCCCGCCCACCTTCTCAAACACCAGAGGCTTCAGGGGAGAGCCCAGGCTCCAGACTTTCAGGAGAGCATGCAGCGCCTTCGACGGCTCAGGGCCTGTGGGGGAAGGTGTCGGGCAGTCGTCAGCCTGCCTCCTGCACGCTTCTGGAGGTTGGTGCCTACTCTTGGTCTCTACCAACTCTGTCGCTTACTGCTCCTTGATCAAATCAAGGAGCCCTAGGACCAGCAGATGGTGTAATGGTTACGTCACTGGACTCCTACATGGGTGACCATGGTTCGAGTCCTGGACCCGGCTACATAAAACTCATGCCAGGTGCATGTGCATGTGTGTCCAAAATCCTGAAAGGAGAAGAGAGGAGAAGGGATTGTCGTGCGGCCATCCCCCCTAGAGGGAGAGTTCTCGCTTTCTGTCTGGTGTGTACACACACTCTATAGCAAAAATCTCTTAAAATCAAGGCATCCCCTTGGCTAACGCTTGAACTTCCTTCCTAGCAGCCCCAGACTTCATGTGTGTGTGTGTGTGTGTGTGTGTGCGTGTGCATGTACGTGTGTGTGTGCGTGTGTGTGACTGTCATCGTTTGGGAGCACCTCATAACTAGGCACTTGCCTAGACCCGATGGATGTGTTTTTCCTTCTAAGAATCTGCCACGAGGACGAGGACTGGGATGTGGGGTAGGAGCAGGCAGAAGGCCAGCTTGAGGGGCCAGACGATGTGCCTAAGCTTGGAGAGGAGCGAGGTCGGGGGCCCTAAAGGGAGTGAGCCGGCTACCGTCTTCCCTCTGCAGCACAGTCCGAGGACAAGGCTAAGGTTTTGAGTAGCAGCATGGGGGGTTGGGGGCCAGGGCCACAGGCCTCACCGAAGTCAGCAGACGCCCAAGACAGCTCTGGGCTACTGGGGAGGACTGGGGTCAGGTGTTGGAGGTCAGGCAGCGGCAGGAAGGTCAACAGCTCCCTGAGTGCGGTCTGGTCCTGTGAACAAGGCAGCCCGTGCATCTGGGCATACAGGTTGGCAGCCGCCAGCACGTAGAGGAGGTGCGTGTCCTACAGTCGGGCCGGAGCAGGGCAACGTGGGGCCGTGAGCGAGCAGGTATGCGAGCTGGGGACCACTGCCTGTTTGTGTTTCTGCAGGGTGCCCACCCTGCCTCAGATGTGGCCACCCACATGTGCACAAACACGGCTCTCTCCCCACCTCTACACATGTGCACCTCCGCCGAATGCAGAAGTGCCTGCCTCTGCTCTGTGGGGCCCTTCCCTGTTGGGCCTTTGCAGGGGACTCACTCACTTGATTGGGGTCGAACTCCAGGGGCTGGGGACACTGTTTGGAACCAGACCAGAAAGGAGTTCCATCCTCAAGCATCTAGAGAAATAGAAGATGCTGGGCTCAGTCTGGCCCCCCTGAGCCCTCAGCTCCCGGCCCTTAGCCCTTACCTTATCAGGTGGGAAGTGCCTCAGCAGCTGGGTGATGCCATAGTGGAAGCGGAGCTGCCAGTGGCCCAGGGCCCACACCACGCAGTCTCGCCAGGTCTCTGGACGCGCCCTCAGGACGCCCAGCACTGGCCGCAATAAAGTCAGTATCTGTGGTGCATCCTCGTCTGCCAGGGGGCTGTGCGCCCTGGGGAGAGAGGAGAAGTGTGAGGCTGAGCCCTACGGACTCTGGTGCCTGACCTGGCCCCCATCACTTCTGCGGGCGGTCTTACTCCTGGTGGCGGTTGATGGTCTCTGCAGACAGTCAGAAGAGCCCTTCAAACTCATCCCGAGCCCACTGTCGGGGAGGGAAGAACCACGAGGTGTCAGGTGGGGACGAGCTCCACATCTGAGGGCTGAACTAGATGGGCTGGGAGTCTCTAGGTCTTCCCACCTGCAGGGTGTGCTCCACCGCGCTGGGGAAGTGCCGCACGGTGCAGACCGGGTAGGGGGCATCCTCAGAAGCTGCCACTGAGGCAGGGGCGCTGTAGGCCTCGGTCACATGTGGCACAAACACAGAAGCACTGCCCTGAGTGCCCTGGGTGCCAGCCTCCAGCAGCGGCTTCAGATAGTGGGTGCAGCGAGCAGCCACATAGCGCCCTGGGAAGAGGGCAGAAGGTCAGAAGCAGGGCTGGCACAGCCTCGGGCGAGAGACTGAACTCCGAGGGGGGCACTCACGGGCCTGGAAACTTTCCAGAGCGGCAGCCACGCCATCCACGTGGGAGAAGAAGTCATCTCCGAAGATGTGCTCTGTGGTGGGGTCCACTGGGTGGGGGAGCGCAGTTACCTGCAAGTCTGGGTTCAGACGCCGGGCAGCTGCTGCAGCCACCTGTGCCTTGGGCCTCTGGGAGGAAGGCAGGAGGATGTTGGAGAGGGGCACTGTGGGAGGACAGTCTGGGACACGGGGGTGTGGGGAAGGACTGACACTCACACCAATGTCCTGGGGCCTGAAGAGGAACTGGCGGCTGAGGTTGGAGCGCTCGATGTGGTCCATGTCAGCGATGGTCACGCCCCCTCCGTCCCCAGTCCCCAGGCCCACTAGAGCAAAGCCTTTGAGCAGTTCACAGCCAATGGCACCAGCGCCCACCTGCTGGCAAGAGTGGCCTTAGTCAAAGGGCCTGGTCTGGTTCTCCCAGAGACCCTCCCAGCCTCACCCCACAGCTCACCAGGAAGTAGTGCTGGCGGCTCAGTTGCTCCTGAAAAGCTGCCCCGAACACTGCGATTTGCCCGTCATAGCTGCAGCCTCTCTAGGGAGCACAGATGGCGTCGGTGCAGGCTGCAGGCTGCAGGCACGGCCGAGGTGCATCGCCACCTTGTGCTGCGTTTTCTGAATCAGCACTTCGCCCTGACTTGGGATGAGGCCTGCACCCACCCCTTCGGCTCTCACCGGCATGCAATCCTCAGGATTGGGAAAGTGCTCCCCAGTTTCCGGAAGACAGTCGAGGGCATCCAAGTACAGCCACTGGTCGAGGGGCATGAATTTCCCGGAGATTGCCTAGGGGCCAGCACGTCAGTGTGAGGATCCCAGCTGGAGACTGCACCAGCTGGCCAGGCTCCAGGGCTGCCGTCTGTGCACTCACTGTCCTCCCCCTTCCCCATAGTCACGCTCCCCACCCCCAGCTGTGCTCGGGCCCACCTTCAGTACTTCCTGCGCAGCCACTGCGCCCAGCACGGCCGCCATGGGGCTCAGGCTACCAGCACTGCTCAGGGCAACTGTCCGTACGAGGGCCTCATCCAGCGGCTCTTCCTCTGTCCCCGTCAGTGGCCCCAGGGCCCGGGCCAGGCCCACCACGATCTCTGCATCAGCCTGTTGGGTGGGACTCTGTGGGCACAGCGGCTCCAGCCTGAGCCACCCCACCCGAATCTCAGGGCGGCCATCTGCCCCCTTCGGCAGAGGGAGGGAAGTTGCCCTGGCCCTGCCCTGACCCGTACAGCACCGTCTGAAGATGCCAGCAGCCGACGGCAGCCCCGGAGGTCTCACCAACCTGGGTGCAGCATTGGGCCCAGAGCTCAGGCAGGGGGTGGGGTGTGGCAGAGGTCACCAGCCTGTGCCTGGCACGTCCCTGGTCCCAGCCTCTAGTCCACAGAAAGCATTTCTCATCTCCTTTTTTTAGGGGGGAGGGAGCTGCTTCTGGCATTCACACTTGGATCTGTGCACGGTCATTGTGGCCTCTTGGCAGGTGAAACCCCGACAGGACAGAGGCTGGGGGTGAGGACATCAGGGCTACTCACGGGATCCCAGGGCCGAGGCGGCCGGCCATGGAGCTGCTGGAACTGGTGTAGAGCACGGAAGGCCTGGTGCAGACAGTAGGCTCGCTGGACTTCCAGTGGACTCTGGGCCACCACACGGGGCTGGAGCAGGGCTGTGTCCAGGGGCTCCTGCAGGGGGAGCCCTTGGCTCAAGGTCAGGTTCAGAACGCTGTGGGCCCCCACCTTAGATGCGCTTGCACTCACATGTCTCACAGTCTTGGGTGTCTTCACTTCAGTGACGACCCCGCCATGCGAGTAACGGGAGAAAGCTGCTGTGTCCCCAATCTCCAAGGATCCATCCTCTGGGGAGGTCCAGCACAGTTAAGTGTGACCCCGAGTCGTCCCCACACCCATGCCTCACATCTGTGTCCCAACCCTTCCTGCACTGAGGAAGGTGGAAGGAGAACCTCTCAAGGACCAGGCCACGTTCATCCCAGGGGCCTGGACTCCGAGCCTGGAACTGGAGTGGGCTCTGCTCACCCTGCACACGGATGTGCCGAGCACGGCCATTGAGCTCGACCATGCCCTCGATGCCTGAGAAGGTCACCAGGTCCCCATTACAGAAGTAGCGCCTGTCGGCCTCTCTTCTCAGAGTGAGGATGCCGGGAGAGCCCTGAGGAAAGTGGCGTGGCTCAGGGGAGCCCTGGGAGCCCCTTGCTGGCCAGCAGGGAGCGCCCACGTCTCAGCACCTACCTGGGAGATGTGCTGGATGGCAGCAGTCAGGGGTTCCGCCTCAGTGGCGTCCTGCACGATGAAGTCCTCACCAAAGTCACAGAACAGCTGCCTGGGGTGGGGTGGCAGGAGTCACTGAGTGGCTCGCAGGTTGTGGTTAAGGGTAGGACAGGGTGGGATAGCCCCAAGGCTGGGGGGGGGGCACCAGGGCCAGCCTGGAGCTGGGGCCAGTCCTGGGACCGGCTGGTGGCACCGGGCTGGGGAGGGCGGGTGGCTCACCCCACCTTTTTTTTGGAGCGGGGCCCAGTCCTGGGACCGGCTGCTGGCAGCGGGCTGGGCAGGTAGGCTCACTCACCCTACCAGGCCTCGGGTGTCGGCCACCAGAAGGCAGACTCCCTGCCGGCGGCACCAGGCCCCCACCTGCAGCTGCTCCGCCAGCTTTGAGGCAGTCAGCACCACCACCTGAAGGGACGCTGGGGTCAGGAGGGCAGAGCCACCCCACCCTCCCTGCAGCGTAGGAGTGCAGCGGACCCGGCTAGTCTAGAAAGCACCAGTAAGGGGACATGCGGGACCTGGAAGTCCGCTAGCAGGTCCTCGGTGATGTCGCCTGGGTGGACGAAGACCTGGACAGCTCCGTTGAGTTGGGCCAGGAGCTCCTGAGAGGCCTCAGCCCTGTTCCTGTCCAAGTCCTTCTCTGAGAGGCAGAACTGGGGAGAGACCCAGCATGGACCGAGCAATGACTCCTCTCACGCTCTGCCCCTAGCCCTGCTCTAGGAGCCCACAGCCCCCAGACCCCTTACCTGGGCAGCCAGGTCAGACCAGCAGGTGGGGTGGGCGTCGTGCAGTGTGAGGCTGCCCACTCCCATCAGGGCCAGGTTCTTGGCCACCTCAGCCCCCAGACCCTGCAGACCTGACAGCAGGACCTTGGCTCCCTGAATCCTCTGCATAGCAGGTGAGCCCAGCACATACCTATGGATGTGAAGGAGGACGGGCAGGTGGAGGGCAGAGGTCCGAGGCCGCCCTCCCCACACCATCCTCCCCCACCTCAGCCCTCACAGCTGCCTCGAGTACAGCTCCTCATCCAGCAACGTGGAGGGTTCCGGGACAGCCATTCCCAGGCAGGAGCAGACGGAGGGCTGCAGGGCTCAGACAGGGCCTCGACAGCAGGTGGTGCCAGCAGGAGCCAGAGCCCAGTTGTAGCTAGTGCGGGCAGGCCCAGCGCCAGAGGAGGAGGACGCTGCTGCTCACAGCTCTTTCTGGCTCCTCTGTCATTTCAGGAAAAACAAAAGTGAAAGTAAAACCAGACTGAGTCAGTTCCTAGTCCTGCCTCCCGGCCAGGACAGGGTCCAGCCCTGCGTGTGCCAGACAGGGTCTGTCGCCAGGATGAGTCCCAGGACGCTGAGACAGAGCTGTCTCCAAGCCACAATCACGTGTCATTTTTCTTAAAAAAATAATTACAGACTCACAAAAAGTTGCGAAAATAATACACAATCCTGCATATCCTGCTCAGGTGTGTCCTTTTGCTCTTAGCAACTTGGGGCCAATTCTCTGCAGAGTGGACCATGGCTCCCAAAAAAACTCTACCAAGTAGAGATGAGATGAACGTACATAAGTTATTTTTAATTTTATTATCTTTAGAATTATTTATTTAATTTCATTCATTTACTTAATTAATTTGACCAGAGAGAGAAAGCCAGCCACCAGATCTGGGACTCAAACTGCAGTTGGCCATGTGGGAGTCCAGTGCCTTAACCACTACGGTACCTGCTGGCCCCTAAAATTAATCATTTTTAATTTAAAATTTATTATTATTATTATTTAATTTTGACCAGAGAGAGAGAGAGAGGGAAAGTGAGAGAGCAAGGCACCAGGTCTGACTCGAACTGTGGTCAGCCATGTGGGGATCCAGCATTTTAACTGCCACGTCACCTGCCGGCCTCAAATGAATCATCTTCAAGTGTACCATGCAGTGGCTTTTAGTGCATCCACGACATTGTTCCGCCATCACCTCTTTCTAGGATCAAATTGTCTTTATTACCCTGAACACGTTACGTAATTATCACCCGCCTCCCCCCACCCAGTGCGGTCTGCTAGCCAGCACTGCTACGCTTTCTGTCTCTCGGGACCTATCTTGAATATTTTATTTAACAGGAATCATACGAAATGTGATCTCTTTCACTTAACATCTGTGAGGTTTACGCCACTGCAGGCCGCATCACTGCTTCATTCCTTCTAAGGGTGGGACACTATTCCATTTCGTCTACCGGTACATGCTGCACGTGTTGCCGGACCATAGCTGAACCCACCTTTTAGCTACAGCACCAGTGCTTCCGTGACCACGGATTCGCTCGAGTACTGTCTTCAATGCTTGTGGGCATATACCTAGACGTACAACTGCTGGGCCATATGATAATTCTATGTCTGATGCTTTGAACAGACGAAACTGTTTCCCACAACTGAACCACCTACATTCCGACCACCCGTGGACCTTGTTGCCAACTTGACTCATTTTTGTAGCGACCCCCCCCCCCCTTTTTTTAAGAAAGAGAGACTTTTGCTATAGGGTGTGTGTGCTCACCAGACAGAAAACAAGAAATCAGCCGTACCACAACCCCTCCTCCATTCCCCTCTTGGGATTTCGGGTACACACACATGTGCCCAGGGTGAGGTTTTCTTTTTTCTTTTTTTTTTGAATTATTTATTTATTTATTTGTTCATTTATTTTAATTTGACCAGAGAGAGAGAAAGTGGGAAAGCAAGCTACCAGGTCCAGGATTCAAACCATGGTCAGCCGCCATGTGGGAGTGTCCAGTGCTTTAACCACCACACCACCTGCTGGTCCCCTGTCCAGGGTGTTTTAAGCTGCCGGGTCCAGGACTTGAACTGTGGTGGACTACATGGGAGTTCAGTGGGGTAACCATTATGCCATCTGCTGGTCCCTCTGTGTTTGTTTGTTTGTCTGTTTGTTTGAAGTATACCAATCCTGGTGGGTGTGAAGATATTCCATTGAATGTATTCGTGCCACATTTCATTTGTCCATTTTGGTAAGTCTCTCTTGTTTGCTTTCACTACATAAATATTTACTAGGTATAGAAACCAGGGTCAGATTTTAATAGATACCAAACGGTATTTAAGAAAATTCAACATCCATTCCTGGATTTAAAAAGCTCATTAAAGGGTCAACAGATGGTGTGGAGGTTAAGGTGGATCCCACACGGCTGGCTGCCCGATTCAAGTCCCAGACCCAGTGGTTTAGAAAACATGCCAGGTGCATGTGTATACATGCCCCAAGTTCCAAGAGGAGGATGGAGAAGGGACTGCACGTGGCCATCCCCCGCAGGAGGAGCTTCTTCACTTTCCCTCCTTCTCTCGGTTTTATGTGTGTGTGTGTGTGTGTATGTGAAGTTTTTGCTATAGGGTGCGTGCACTTGCCAGAAAGACAGAGAGACAGAGAAGCAGAAAGCGAGAAAACACCTCCTGGGAGGATGGCCACGCCGCAATCCCTTCTCCTTCATTCTCCTCTCAGGATCTTGGGCACGCACGCACATGCGCCTGGCATGAGTTTAAGCCACCGGGTCCGGGACTCGAACCGTGGTCGACTACGTGGGAGTTCAGTGACATAGCCATTACACCAACTGCTGGTCCCTCTTTCAGTCTTTGACAAGCACATTCACTTTCTAGCCAAAGAGAGAACTCATTAACATAGGAATAATCAGACTTTTAAAAAAGAATTATTTCTTCTTATTTTTTAAGAATTATTTAATTTTATTCATTCACTCATTTATTTTAATTTGACTAGAGAGAGACAGAGAGTGAAAGTGAGAAAGAAAGCCACCAGGTTCAGGACTTAAACCGTGGTCAGCCATGTGGGAGTCCAGTGCCTTAACCACCATGCCACCCACCAGCCCCAGGAATAGTCAGACTTTAAATTTAAAAAAAACTGTTGCAAAATATACATAAGATGGAATTTACCATTCTTCTTATTGCCAGAGGGGAAATGCACTCACCGGAGAGACTACCCGCCAATGGGCAGTGGTCATGCCACAATCGTTTTTCCATTGTTCAATTCTGTCAAGATTTTGCAGGCTGCAAGATGGTGTGGTGGTTAAAGGCCCTGGACTCCCACCCACATGGTCGACTGTGGCTCAAGTCCCGAACCCCCCTTTCTCTCCCCCCTCTGGTCAAATTAAAATAAATAAGTATCAAGAATTATGGAGTATGAGCTAAAATTTTTTGCTATGTAAAGTAAATGTTTGTGGAAAAATGTAAAAATAAATAAATGAAAGGAAAAAAATAAGTAAAGTTAAATAAAATAATTCCTTAAAAAAAAAAAAAAAGATTTGGGGCACATATGAGCACACACACACCTGGCATGGGTAGGCTCCAGGGCTGGGATTCAAACTGTGGTCAGCCATGTAGGATCTGACTCCCTATGCACAGGGCATAACCACTGTACTATGGTCAAGTCTTGAATTTACCATTTTAACCACTTTTAAAAAACAATTTTATTATTATTATTTAATATGCTATAGGGCACACATACAAGAGAAAGAGAGAGAGAGAGTGAGAAAGCTGCCAGGTCCAGGACTTGAACTGAGGTTGGCCATGTGGGAATCCAGTGCCTCAACCACCATTTTTCATTTTTTAAAGACGAGGTCTTGCCATATTGTGACCCTTCTGCCTCAGCCTCGAAGTCGCTAGGATTACAGGCGTGTACCACCAAGCCCAGCCTTTAACTGAACCTGCAACTGAGCCCAGGCCTTCCCTGCAGACTTGTCCTGTGGACAAGTGACACACTTTTTTTTTTTTTTTTAAACATTTTAAGTGTGTAGTTCAGTGATATTCACAATGCTGTATTACCATCACCACTACCCAAACTCCATATTCAGTAAACAGTAATTCTCCGTTCTTCCCTCCCCATCCTCTGGGGACATCTTTTCTACTTCCTCTGGGGACGTCTGCGAATTAGCCTATTCTAGGTGCCCAACACAGGGGGGCTCATACAGTATTTGCCCTTTTGTGTCTGCTTTATTTCACTTAGCACAATGGCTTCAAGGTTTATCCATATTGTAGCTTGTACCACATTTTCATTCCTTATTTTAAAATAATTTTTTAAACCTTATTTATTCTGCAAGTGAGACAGGGAAAGATACAGCACTCTCAAAAGGGTCTTAACACCAGAATCCACCCCCCACCCCAGCCTCAGCCAGCTTGAATACTGGGCACGCACGGCCCAGTGTTCTCAGGATCTCCAGATGCCAACTGGCAACCTACCCGTGTGGGTCTACCTTGAAGAGTGTTGCATATGCCACCTCTTGGCCCCATAACTTCATTCCCTTTTCAGGGCTGAATAATACTCCATCGTAGGCGCACTGTTTATCCATTCATGCATACCTGTTCCAGTGCCTAGAAGCAGAATTGCTGGATCACCTGGTAATTGTGTAGCTTTTTGAGGAACTGCCAAACCGTTTTCCAGTGACTGTACCATTTTACATTCCCACCAAAAATATACAAAAATTTCATTTTACCTTCATCCTTGCTAATGCTTGTTTTCCATCTTTTTGGTAACAGCTATTCTAAGTGGGTGTGAAGTGGCATTTCACCGCGATTTCGATTTGTGTTTCTCTAATGACTAATGAGGTTGAGCATTTTTTTCACACGCTCATTGTCCACTTGTATATTTTGGAGAAATGTCTATTCACATCCTTGGAATATTTTCTATTTGTTATCGTTGTTGAGTTGCAAGAGTTCTTTATACATTTTGGGTTTTAATTGCTTATCAGATGTATGATTTATAAATATCTTCTTCCATTTTATTGGTTGTTATTTCATTCGCTTGATAGTCCCTGTTGCTTTTTTTTTTTTTTTTCCTTTTTGGTTTCTTTTTTTTCTTTTTTTTGAGAGGTTTATGCTATAGGGTGCGTGCGCTCACCAGACAGAGAGAGACATAGAGACAGAAAGTGAGAAATCACCCCCCAGGGGGGATGGTCACGCCGCAATCCCTTCTCCTCCATTCTCCTCTCGGGATCTTGGGTATGCACGCACACGCGCCCGGCATGAGTTTTAAGCCACTGGGTCTGGGACGCGAACTGCAGTCAACTACGTGGGAGGCCAGTAACTTAGCCATTACGCTAACTGCTGGTCCCTTTTTGGTTTATTTCTTGAGAGACTCCCCTCTCCCAACAAGGTCTTCACTCCACAATTCTCAGCCAGCCCAGGTTACGGGCACAACATGCATAGCCAACGTGTACAGGGAGGCCTCAGGACACAGCCCCAGGACTCTCCTATGTTGGTCCAGCTGTGTTACTGCTGTGCCTCCATCTGGCCCCTTGATAGCCCCCCTTGATGCAGAAAGTTTTTTTTTTTTTTTTTTCTTTTTTTAAGGTTTTTAAGTGTGTTCACCGGAGAGAGACAGAGAGAGGGAAAGTGAGAAATAATCACCGTGGGCTGGCCATGCCAGTTCCTTCTCCATTTTCTCTCAGGATTTTGGGCATATATGCAAACACACGCTGTACTTTTCAAGCCGCCAAATCTGGGACTCGAACTGGGGTCAGCCATGGAAATCATCTACTGACCTGACCAAGACTTTCTGGCACTGGCTTAGATCTGATAGATGCTGACCCGAGAGTGGGGGTGAAGGGTAGGCGGGATGTGGGCGGGGATTGCATCTGGAAGGCTGAGCCCAGGCAAGCATCTCAGAGTCCTGCCAGAGCCACCGAAGTACACAACCTCCAATTTTTGTAGGAGTAGGTCCCCACTGCCCAACCTGCCACCAGTCAGCTGCTTCCAGGACTGCGGCTGCTATCTCTAACGAGTGGAGCAGAGGAACGGTGGATGCGGCTTGACTCACACTGCTCCTTCACCCAAGAACAGCACCCCTTCCCTTCCCCTAGCATCACCCTTGTCAGATGTCTGACCAGGTTGAGTTCTGAAATAGGTGACGATAACCACTACTCTTCCCAGCTCAAACATTGCTGTGGCCAAGGGACTGACCCCTGGAGGTTTCAACACCATCAACACACATGACATTGGTTTTGTTTTTGTTTTGTTGTAAGTTTATTTCTTCCTAAGCAAGAGATATGGGAAAAGAGAGTGAGCTAGCATTCCCAACACGTTTTTTTTTTTTTTAATCGCACAACACAGAAAGCTTTATTCATCCTTTACTGGTCTGGAGACAAGCAGGCGCGTGGAACCTCTCACTTTAATAGGCTGTCATCTCGGGCTTCTGCCAACTCTCTCTCAATCCTGTTTTGCTTTATCCTGATTCTCCTCCTCCGCTGCTATTCTCAACTCTTCTGCCTGAGGTTTTAGATAACTGTAGCGCTTGGCTCTGTAGGCCATGCTGAGAACAGAGCCGAGTAGCGGCCAGCTTGATGAGCGGAGAGACCCGCGCCGGCAGCACCATTGTGTCCCTGACTTCTGTGCCCCGCAACACGAGCTTGATGCTGCAATCCATTTCCAGCATCGGTCGGCCCCAGACAGTGAGTACACGAGAGCATGTCTCAGACGCGGGGGGAGGTATCGTTCCATGTATTCAGATCTGTCATAGGTTTTGTTTTGTTCTTCATCAAGTCTATCTATTTCTAAAACTTTTTGAACATCCTGCACAGAAAAATCAATGACCATTAAATACTGCCCCATGTTCCTCTCCCTCTAATCTCTGGTAACTTCTATTCTGTTCCTATGAATTTGCTCATTCTAGATATCTCACTTAAGTGGAATCATGCAATAGTTACCCTTTTGAGTCTGGCTGCTTCTTCTTTCTTTTTTAAGAATCATTAATTTGGGGCCAGAAGATGGCATGGTGATTAAGGACACTGGACTTCCACATGGCTGACCATGGTTCAAATCATGGACCTGGTGGCTTGCTTTCTCGCTTTCTCTCTCTCCCTGTCTCTCTCTGGTCAAATGAAAATAAATAAAAGAGAGAGGGCGGGGGGGGGAGAGTAAGAAAGCAAGCTGCCAGGCCTGGGACTCAAACCATGGTCCGCCACGTGGGAGTCCAGCACCTTAACCATCATGCCACCACGTCTGGCTTCTTTCATTGAGCTGTTCTAAGTTCTTAACCTATACACTGATTCATTAGATTCCCACAACTGGGAGCTTCGTGCTATTGTCTCCACTTTCTAGGTAAAGAAGCTGAGTTAGGGGTCAGCAGGTGGCGTGGTAGTTAAGGCACTGGAGTTCCACATGGCTGACCACAGTTCAAGTCCCAGACCTGACAGCTTAAAAATCATGCCAGGTATGCCAATATCCTAAGAGGAGAATGGAGGAGAAGGGATTATGGCACGGACATCACCTTCTGGGGCATGACTTTCCACGTCCTCTCTCTCTGTCTCTTCAGGCGAGTGCACATGCCCTATAGCAAAAACCCCCCAAAATAATAAAAGCTGAACAGAGAAAGCTCCATAGCGTGGTTAAGTGAGCTGGATCCCACAAGGCTGACCATGGTTCAGGTCCCAGCACCAGTGGCTTGAAAAAGACACCAGGGATGTGTGCATGTGCCCCCCAAATCCCGACAGGATAGAGAAATGGAGAAGGGATTAGGGCGTGGTCAGCCCCACTGAGGATGTGTTTTCCTTCTCCCCAGCTAGTAAGCACTTATATCCATTAGCAACTTAAAAAAAAAAAGTGATCACAGAGGTTATGTTACTTACCTAAGACCACTTGGCTGGCAAGGAAGGTGCTAGCAGCCAGCCCCAGCATTCCTGAACCTGACGTTGTACTTCTCACTAAACCTCTAGGCTCCAGTCAGCTCCAGACTAACACCCACACCAGGAGCGTCCCCTCCTTCCCACAGAGCCCCAGGCTCCTCTAGACCTGCTGGAGGATGATGGTTACCCTCAACTGGCATCCTCGCTTCACTCACTCCCCGTGCACCATGCAGAGCCCTGGGGAAACAGGTGAACTCCCATCCTGCAGTGGGAGAGCAAGTTTAGGGGACAAGAAGGCAGTCAGGCTAAGATGCTGTCAGGTGAGGGGGCGGGGGAAGGGGATGGTGCTGGTCACTGGTTATCTGTTGGGCCTGCTCTAAGTACCCTCCCTGAATGGATTTAACCAATCACTGTCTTGCTTATGGCCGGCCGCAGGGTGGTGCTGAGGATAGAGACCACGGACAAAGCAGCAGTGACCTCATTCTCGCTATTTTCTCTGTGCCTTGTGGGAAGGCATGACATTCTTGGGGATGGAACTGCTGGCTCTGAGTCCAGGTGATGTTCCTGCTTTAAAGTCATGCCAGTTTCCAAGGACTTGGTACAAATTTAGGCTCCCAGAGCCAGGAAAAAGAGATTCTTTTTTTTTTTTAGTTGGGGAGCATTCAAAATTTATTTTCCAACAGAGAGAATCAGCAGGACAGATCTTCTCCATAAATTGTACATTCACAAGGGGTCGTTAGGTCGTTCGTGTGAAAGCTTCTAGTGTGTTCTCTGTAATGACATCCACTTCATAGTATGGACAGGTAGAGTCTTGTGTTCATGTAGACTTCCAAAAGACAAGGCACAGCGAGATAGGAAAGCCAATCTGTGGCTCCTAAAGTCCAGTGCGATAACAAGAGACAGAACTCGGTAACAGACCTGATCTGCATTTCAGTGAGGGCCTTCCACACAGAGGGGTGGACCTCTCCACTCCCTTTTACTTTACACGGAAACCTTCTCTCGTCCTCTCTCCATCACCACCCCCATTCCCTACCCTGCTTGGCCCAGGCCACACCTAGCAGCGAGTGAGTGGGAGGCGGAGGCTCAGGCTGAGGCTGCCTGAGGAGCCTCAAGCACCGTGAGCCACACAGATGTAACAAGGGAGCCTGGTCTCATCAGACCGTGAGTATCAACCAGAGCCTGGAACCAGGAGCGGGCCCTGCTGACGGACCCTGTGAGCCGGCCAGGTCAGCCCCACAGGCAGGCCCGGCGTGTAGACACGGAGCGGAACACAGGAAGAGCAGTCTCTGGGCATCGCTGTCGCCCTCTCTGGCTTGTCTGCCCTTCTCTCAGGGCTGGCCCTGGAGGAGGGGACATCCCCCTAATGCCCCGGCCAGTCCTTGGCCTATAAGTTACAAGTGTGCATGTGGCCACGGCTCAGATTCACTGTTCTCCCTACCACAGGAAGGTGTCCATCTTGGCCTGGGTGAGAGCGCGCACTGTCCCCACCTGTCCTCTCTGCTTAGCCCTGGCTCTGGGCTTAACGGGCAGTGGGCGGATGGTAGTCGTGTCTGTCTGGAGGAGATGTCAAGGAACAGGCCTGGAGAGGGGACTGGGGTGGGCAGCCCTGCACACCTGCGGCGGCATGCACGGGCAGGTGGGGTCTTAGGGGACAGGAAGGCACCGCGTGGGCTCCACGCCACAGAACAAGGATACAGGCTGGATGAACTTTGTCCGGCCTCCAAGCCCGTCGTAGCCCGTCCGTACCTAGGGCAGAAGGAAGAGATGAACAGGCCAGGCTGATGACGTAGAGCTGGTCCCCCAACCCCACTCTGCGAGGCTGACACCTGCCACTGGTGGGAAGTCACTTACCACATCGGTGCTGCGACAGGGCTCGGGCCTGGCCCTCTTGGGTTGTCTGTGGCCCAGGATGGCATTCCGGATGAAGACGGGGAAGGTGTCAGCCACCTCTTCATCTGGCTCTCCTACACAGCGCTGGCCGCCCAGGGACAGCTGGGGCTCCTGAGGGGACCCCAGAGCCAGACTTGATGCACCAGATGGCGGCAGAGGAGGCAGGCTAGAGGTGGTGACACGAGACCAGGACCTCTGCTGCCTCACCAGGAGACCCAAGGGCGACTCCAAAATACCTCAGTCCTGGGCTCAGAGTGAGAGGCTCTGGCCAGACCCCACCCTCCCCAGCGTCCAGCAACTACCTGAGCTTCTTCTGGGAAGCCCTTACCTGTTTGGGCTCTTTGGGCATCTTCTTGGGGACATCCTGAACAGGAGAGCTATAAGGTAAGACATGAAGGAAAGGGACATGTAAGCCAGACACGAGGGGAAGTGAGCCAGGCTCACACAGGTCCCGGGGAGCTGCCACATGGCTGCTGTCCTGGCCGTGTCCTGGGCACCTGAGCGATCCCCAGTGCAGGTCTGTGGACAGCTGGACAGTCAGCAGAGCGGCGGAGAAGGGGAAGACTGGCCCAGGCCTAACCTTGTGGCTTCAGGCAGGAGCCTCGGTGGCACACCATGGAAGAGGAAGTTCAGGTCACTGGCTCAGGGCTCTGGTGGGCAGGCATTCCAGCATTGGGAGTGCCATCCCCAACCATGCCAGCACAGGACCACCAGCTTCTACTGGGATCACTGTGGGTCTAACTCACATCCCAACACCTTTCACTTGGAGGGTGATGGTGAAGATGAGCGAAAGAATGGCTTTGCACCCACTGAGTGCCCAGGGGAAGAAAAAAAGGGTGGCTGGAACCTAAGCCACAGCCACGCCAGGCCGCCCTCACTGCCCTGGCAGCCACGCAGAGCTACCAGGCCATCGGAGACGTCTTGAGCCACCCCCCTCCACGCTATGGACAGTGCCGAGTACCACTCACTGCGCCTTCTGCAAAGAGAGCTCCCTGGAGTGGCTACGCTGGGAGCTGGAGGGCCGGGCTGGGGGCGTATCCACATCAAAGGTGGCATTGAGGTCAATATCGTCACCGAAGGGCGGCCGGCAGAGCTTCAGGTTCTGCATCTCCACAGGAGCTGGGCTAAAGGCAGAGATGGCCTGGTTACTGGGGACCGCAGGGCAGCCCAGAGGACAAAGGCCCCTCACACATCAGAGACGACTCAGCTGCAGGGCCACCCCTTAAGGAAGCCCTAATCTCTAATCTCTGTGGGCTCGGCCCTTCAACTGTCACGAGACCAGAGAAACTGGAAGGCAAGGAAGGAAGCAAGCAAAAATCCAGGGAAAGCCCAGATGTATGAACAAAAGACTGCCGCCCTTTGACCTGCGTAGCTCATTTCTCCGAATGCAGTGCAAGGAGCCAGTCGGAGAAGTCGCCGCAGAAGGGTGCAGAGGGACAGTCACCCCTCGCCCCCGTGATGTTGCTACCTCTCTCGGCAAATGGTACAACATCGGAAACTACCAAAATGACTCCCCCGGGTGCTGGCACTTCCACAGCTTGAATATAATGCAGGCATTCGAGTTTCTGAAGAGTAAATGTAACAACACGGGAAAGTGTTCATAGAGCAAATCTTAAAAGCAACACAAAACTCTCGGTACGGTGTGATCGCATGGTTTGGCACACACCCCACCCACCTACCCACCCCGCCCCCACAGAAAAAAAGTGTCAAAAAGATAAAATTACAACAAGTTTAAAGATTTGAATTGACTTTTATTCAAGATCCTAGAATCAGACAGCCCTTAGACAGAACGGGCTGAAAGAACTTCAGCTAGCAACGTGATCAGGCAGTACATGGATAGGAAACGGCGGAGAGGTAAGAGGCAGCTTAATTGGGTACAGCTTGGCATCCTGCCTTATCTGAATCAGCGATGACTGAAGTGCAGCTGCTGTAACCAACTAACGCTCAGCTGTTTACAAGCGCGTGCTTCTAGGTTAATTAGTTTCGTTGAGCATGAATGACTCCATGCTGGGTCGGCTGGGCCCAGTAAAGGAGCCTAATTCAAGCCAATGGCCTCCTACAAATTTTATGAGCAAAGGACGGGAGGGAGATACAGCGCACGCCAACAGTAACTACCTCTGCTCCAACTCCCTATTTTCCAAATTCTCAACGAGTGTTCTTCCTTTTATAGCTGGGAGGAAAAGTTTAATTCTGTTAGAAAACTGCAGCCATCAGGTGTCCTAGTCCGTGCAGAGAGCCCATGCTCCCAGCTCCTGTGGTCTGGGGAGGACGTAGGAAGCAGCGTGGATGGCTCAGACACCCTCACTGCGCTTCCCTCAAGAACGGAGTGCACAGAGGGAGGACAGGAGCCACAGCACTGCCCTCAGCGGGTAAGCAACTCGGGAGTTCTGGACTCTTTCTTCCTCTCCTTGGCCAGCCCCCTGGAGGCTACTCTCCTTGCCTGCACGTGAAAGTGAAGGCTGCACCACCCACCTCAAACCAACGCTGTGCTGGACGTCTTTTTTGATTGCTAGAGGACGTGCCAGAGAGATGGAGAGAGAGAGAAAAGAACTCACGCCCCCACCCCCGTAATGGGGCGTGGTTACACCACAATCCGTTCTCTTCCATTTCTCTATCCTGTTGGGATCTGGGGTATGCATGAACATGTGCCCAGCATGTTTTCAAGCAACTGGAGCTGGGATTCAAACCATAGTTAGCCATGTGGGACCCAGCTCCCTTAACCACTAGGCTACAGAGCCAGACCCACGCTAGATGCTTTGCTTCCCTGGAACTGCAGCACAAAGCAGCAGCTAGGATGGCCCATGCCAACTGTTGTGCAGTATCCACTATTCCCTGTGTGTGTGTACAGAGGCTCACAGAGAGATGCTGGAAAATGCCTAAGCAAGAAAGGAGAGAGTAAGACTGAGGAGTTAAAGATACAAGAAGAATGAGGGGCCAGGTTGTGGCGCCATGATAAGGCGACTGGACCCACACGGAAAAGGTCCTAGGTTCACATCCTGGGACCTCCCTGAGGGAGGCATGCATGCTTTTGACGAAGGTCAGCTGAGACAGCGTAGACTGCAGCATGAAGACCCTTCTGTGGGTACCTGACTCTCTTTCTCTTTCTCATGGAAGAATTAAACAAATAAACTAAAGTAAAAGCAGCAGCAGAGGGAACTGGCTCATTTACACTCTCCCTCATGCAGCTGTGGGCCAGGCAGTGCAGGTGGGGACAGGACGGGTGTGTAGGAAGCTGACGAAGGATCTGGATTGAGATGTGGCTTTCCCCCTCTTGGGGCTGACGGGTGGCATAATGGTTAAGGGTGCTGGACTCCCACATGGCTAACCGCGATTCGAGTCCCAGGACCTGGTGACTTGCTCTCCCTCCTCAACTCTGACCCTCTATGGTCAAATTTAAATAAATGAATGAATGAATGAATGGACCGGCAGTTGGCGTAATGGCTGTCACTGGACTCCCATGTCGTCAACCACAGTTCGAGTCCCAGACCCAGTGACTTAAACTCACGCCGGGTGCGTGTGCGTGCGTGCCCAAGATCCCGAGAGGAGAATGGAGGAGAAGGGAGTGCGGCATGGCCACCCCCCCC